ATAAGTGGTTATGTGTAGGTTGAGGTTCCCATACATGACGGAAACAGAAACGTTCAAACCTTCTAAAATAGAAAAATATTTTCATTCCTCTGGTTTGTGTCCTCCTGCCGATTAAGATATTTAATGAAGGCACTGTCTTGTCTCATGGTAAATAATTGCCACTCATGAATTATTTTACTGGATAAACTATTAATATTTTGATATTCAGCTGCCAAATTAGGCATCTGTATCAAACATCGTCAGATTTTTTCATGAATTAATGGTTCGTCGGTTTTTATTGTCTTGGTGACCCTTGTTACTTGGCTTCACCTGTTCTCTGTATTTGAAAAGCGGGGTGTAGTACTCGAATATAGAAAAAGGATGGTTGGATGGATGTAAAATTACGCAGCCACTTATTAAATTTGCCAATGGTTTCTTATATGTTGAACAGATAGGGAGATAGGTTTAAATGCTTGTACCCACTTTCATGTTAGAAAAATCTCTCATATGCATTACTGTAGCTTACAAAAGCTTAACAGTGACACTGCGTGACTAGCATATGGCTGCCCATCAGACTGAAGGCAAATTCTCATCCCCGTGATTCTGAAGAAGCGGAAAATGCACACACCCTTTTCCAATGTGCATTATTGTGTTCCAAAATTCTAAAAGCTGTATGATGGCCTCAAGAAGGCAAAATTGGATGGGGCTTTTTCGGCTAAGAACGGAGAAGTGTGTACGAGACAACTTTGGAATAGAATGAAGAAGTCATGGTAGTCATAATAGGTCAATCAAAATTTAATAAGGTATCAAACTTTTCATTTTTTTAGCTTAGGGTGAAGAAGAAACCTTTTGCTGAGTTTACCACAAGAGGCATTTGTCCTACAGCAGATGGAATAGAGATTTGACATCCGAATTGACTGGCACTTTATGCAAGTTAGCTACTGCAATTTTCATGACAACACAAATCGACCCATTAACATAATGTAAATTTAGTGATAATTTAAGCGGAGTTTCTGACTGTAATGTTGAATTCATTTACATTCACATAAAGTAAATTAAAATGGTGTGACTCTTTTGATGGAGAAAAGGACACCCGAGAGTGTGGCTAAATAAGCGCCTCTACCTCAGAAGTCTCAAAGTGGAAGCTTGACGATGGACTCTATTCCTTTCGGAGAGTGTTCTTTGATTCGCATTCGATGTGTGGCCATTATTCCTAGGCCTTGTTGAATGAATCTTACAGGTCTATTTTTGTAGAGAAGCTTTTATTACTAACTACAGCAAAAGCTACTGAGGTAAATCTCCTCTAAAGGCACTCTGCTAATCATTCAAACGGCGTTTTCAAAGAACTACCACAAATTTCCGTAAAGGAATCCTGACCCCTTCAACTGAAACAATTGCTAACTTTTCTATTAGCCAAATCGCAAAGGAAACCGCATCCAAATTAAATTAGGCTGTGAGGTACACTTTAAGCGCATTGACTCCTTATAACTACTTGTCAGTTCGAAAGATTTTTGAATGTACTGGAATGTAAGGCGGAGGAAGATAATAAGGCAAGTATTTTTTTGCTGGGGTTCATGCATGTGGACCAAGTGGTAGCGCGAACTCCCTCCTCAGCGTCAAGGCAGCCAATTGCTCAGATCCGGCTGGTTGATTCAAAGCAGAATGATTTTTAGATCAAAGGCTAGTCATGATTGACCGTGTACTGGTTGTGGGCTCGATCACAGCGCAAGAGATCTTTAGGTATTTTTGCGCACCC